CCCATCTTCCAACCTGTTCTGCCGCTAGAAATAAGTTCTGGACTTTTTCCACTCTTCTTTCCTCCTGCTGTGCAGCAGGCACTGCCGGTGGGGGGAAAAAAATGTCTGTCAGCTCGCAGCTCCTGGAGTGGCAAAACTAACCGAACAATCCGCCTCTAAATTATCTGGTGAATTAATTATCTGGTGTGCGCAACTTTTGCTTGCTCTTTAGTAAATAAAGCAAAGCCATTTTCTTTATTTTATCTTTATTTCACCCGTCATTAAGACAGACAGGTGTTCCTCACTCTTCAGACGCGCGTTTAGTCCACTTCTGCGTTCAACACTGAATGCGCTTCAGCGCGTCCAAGGCGTTGGGCGCATTTTTGCTGCTCAAAACACGTTCAGTGGGAACCCGRTGTACCAGCCACTACTTCACGGATTTCGCCTATCACGGGTTGTTTTTGGAACGCAACCCCCGCCAAAAATGAGGGATCACTGCACATTGGAATTCTTGTGTGTGTTTCTCTGAGTCAAGCCGTTAAAATCACAAGTTATAAATATAAATAGATAAAAAAATTAATCAAAAGAAGGCTGGAAGCTGATTCTATCAATAAGAGACCAAACCTGAGCAGGTTTAAGTATTGCACATGGTCATCAGTATTGCACATAACTGCAAGATTACAGAGTAACAGTCTTCTAAAGGAAAATGTATGTATTGGTTGATGAATGGGTTGGTGTCAGTGTCTGTGCGGGAGTTGGATCAGTGTCTGTGAGGGAGATAGACGTCTTTGTTTTGGTGTGTTCATATTTTGATATTATGGAATGCTTATGGGGACATTTTGTTGTTGTGTGTAAATCTGCTTGGTCCACACATTGAAAAAAAAACTATTTGTGGTCAGGGCAGGGTTAGGTTTAGGGTAAGGGATCTGGGTTCGGCATTTGAATGGAAAAAGGATGGTTCTGGTATGCATCAAAATGAAAATGATGCTGCGTTCACACCGAACGCGATTTCAGCGTCAAAATCACGTCCAATGCTTCAAGTTGGACGCTTGTGCAATTTGAGGTTAAATGAGAGTCAAAATTGCTCTTGAAGTGCTTGATACATGTCCAGCACGTCAAGAGCCTCCCCCTCCCTCCTCTGCCGTTCTCTCCTCCTCTATTGGTCTCTGTTTAATGTCAGATGAAATAAAGAAAGTGGCTTTGCTTTATTTACTGAGTGCAAGAGAATCTCACTCATCAGATAATTCAGAGATGTTCTGAGTTTGGTAAGTTTCATCATCCAGGAGCTGAGAGCTGACTCAAGGCTCGCTTTAAGAACCATTTTTTCCCCGAGTCCAGTTTGATGAGCCGCTGACCCGCATCTGTGGTGATATCTCCTGCCAGGACACCGACTGCAGGCACTTGATTTCAGCTAAAGAGCTCCTGTCCATCTGTCTCAGGTTAGTAGACATTCAGGAAACTGCCCCGTCGGAAAACCTGTCACTACGTCACACAGAGGAGTCTCTCTGATTGGTTGACACGGCGCGTCGAGCTGCAAAATTTAAAAATTTTCAACTTCAGTGTTCGACACGCTTGACGCATCGAACGCTCAAATCGCACTGCTCTCATCACGCTTGATGCGCCACAACACTTCCCGGCGCTGCTTGACACACATCCACCATAGACTTTGCATGCAAACCTGACACTCCTGATGCTGAAATCACGTTCAGTTTGAATGCAGCATGAGCTACAGCATGTGCATTATTTTGACTCAAGGGCAACAGGAAGCAAAGTCCTGTCTTTTTTCACATCCTGATGAAACAGTCTTTGCTGGATCCTTTCACAGCTGTAGTATTGTTTTTCACGCAACTGAGGCTCGTTGTGAGCTAGTGGCTGAGGAACTTTATTTCCCTTGATGGCAAGAGGCTGCCGAGGTGTTATCCTCTTCAGTGTTTCCCCTAGGAAATTGGTCTTGGGGGGGCTACTTGTTTTATGAAAACATAAATTTATGCGACTCACCTTCAATTATGGTAATAAATTTCCACATACATGAATATTTAATTACCTAACTACATCCTAAAGTTAATGACTTCTCATGATAATTATCAATAATAATTTATTGTAGCAAATTAATATTGATAATAAGTGATCAGAACTGTGTGCAGCAGATGATCTGAGTCCAGAGTTCTCAGTTTGAAACCTTCTGGAGCTCTTCTGTGTGACTCTAGGTGTGACAGAGTGTGGATGGTTGATTGTCTCTTTTGTGTCCCTGATGGAGACTGGAGACCTGTCCAGGTGTCTCTGGTGAACTGGAGACCTGTCCAGGTGTCTCTGGTGAACTGGAGACCTGTCCAGGTGTCCCCTGCCTTCACCCAAAGGCAGCGAGGACAGGTTCCAGCCCCACCCTGAACCTGATTAGAAACAAGGAGGACAGGAGGATGATTTTTCTTTATAGCAGGAAACAGACATTTAATTATAAAACTTGATTTATTTTATGTTAATCTGAATCAGTTTAGTGTTGTTTGTAAATTTATTTGACAGTTTTGTAGGAATGAACATGTTTGTAATGTTTGTTCAAAATAAACCTGTTTCTTATGACTTCTGTAACATGTTTTGAATAAAATATTATCAGTAAAAAAACCTCGAATCATGTCCTTTCTAAGAATTAGAACTCTCTTGTAGATATAAAGGATAACATTTAGAAAATGCAATTATGCAACTTTCAAAAAAACTTCCTCTCAGTCACTGAAAATAATTTATTTATCACATTTTAAAGACGATTATTATCTGGGCTCTTAAGGGTTAATGCTCCTGAACGGGACTGTTTGACCTGCAGTGTGATGTGTGTGACAGAGGAGAGGAGAGGAGAGGAGAGGAGCAGCTCAGCTCCATGTTTGAGTCCAGCAGGACCTGTACAGCAGCTGATTCTGTCTGGATTTGAGTTTACAATCTACTCTGGTTACTTTTTTCAAGTTGAGGGACATTACAGCTGCTCTGCTGATCAGCGCTTTTTATAGAACATGAACGGACTCGCGGGAACCTGGTCGCACGCGGGGTCTGTGTTGGTGATTCTACATTATTGATAAGGTAACCATGATGTGGCTGCACCTGTCACATTTTATTTTAAAGAAAGAAAAAGTAGCTTGCAAAGCTGTCGCATCGGTGCACCACAGACAGCGCTCAGCCTTGCTCTGCGCCATCTTTTTTCCCCAAGTTTGGTGAGAGGTGGATATGGAGGGATGCAAAAAATAGCTCTGGACTTGATCTGGACTTATTTAAATAAAAATGACTAACATGCCGTGGAATTCTTAGACGGACGGGCCGTCTCGTTGGCGGCCGGGGGCTTGTATAATGGTAGGGGAAATACTGCTCGAAATATAGGATTGGGTCCTTGGTTTTAGCTTTGTTGAGAAGAAGGTTGAGGCCAAGTGTTGGAGGGTGGAATGAAATGTTAGTGCAACTGCATATATTAATAGATCAGATTTGGCAGCACAGTTCAGTGATTAGTACTGATGCCTCACAGCAAGAAGGTCCTGGGTTTGATCCCCAGTTAAGACCTGAGTTCTTTCTGTGTTGAGTTTGAATGCTCTCTTTGAGCTTGCAATGATTTTCTCCAGGTACTCCGGTTCCCCCCCACAGACCAACAACATGTACAATGTGTTGCCTTCAGGCCCATGCCTTCCTTGCAAAAGAGATTGTTGATCTTAATGGGACTTGCCTGGTTAAATAAAGAGGGGTTCAATGTGTCTGGAGCCAGAGTATGTGGCAAAGAACCATCTTTCCAGACATCTCATAGCTTCTGAAGTGATTATTAAGGTTCTGAGGTTGTTTATAGCGGCTATGTTGGGTGTTTTTTGGAATTCAAACTGTAACAGAGGACTGTGTGTGTGTGTGTRTGGGATGGGGGGAGTTCACTGTGAGAAGGAGATGTTAAAGATGTTAGTATAAACCTGCGCAAGCTGCTCTGCACTGGCTTTCAGGATTCTTGGTGACAGTCAGGATCCACAGTCTTTCAGGGGTTTAACCTGCCTGAGGACTTTAAGAACTTGTGTTCAGGGGACTTTTAAAGGCTTATCCTGGTTGTTCTGGTCAAACCTGGTTTAAAAAACTGTTTAGCTTGTCTGACAGAATGTCATTTTGAACCACAGCTGTTATCATCCTTCCTGTAGTTTGCTATTAATTAATTACCACATGCTTTTTGTATGTCTATATGTATTCTTGCAAATAGTTTATAGTGTAAAATGTTTGTTATGGACAACATTAAAAATAACATTCTAATTACTGTTGATTTATTTTAAAGACTTTGTAAATTGAAATGTTTTTAGTGAAATATTTCTTGTGTTAAATCTTGTTTGTTTGGTGACAACAGGATATATAAACTGAATGTATGAGATGTTTGAACCCTTGGCTTTAATATACAGGCCATAATGCATAACCCTTTAAATATTAAATAAGCCAATTTCTGCTGTTGTGAGCTGAAGTTGTACCCTGGTCCTTCAAGCAGATGAGATCTTGAACCTGGTTTTAATCTGGTTAAATAAAGGAAATTAAATGAAGTTTAGGTCTGACTGGAAGACGGAATTTGTGACTCCAATTGTCCTCTCTCAAAAAATGTAAATCTACGAAATTAATGTTTGTGTGGTCTCAGAAATGAAGATAAGACTGTTTCTATGTTTCTAAACTTCAGTGTGAGTTCTGATCAATTCAACCTAAAGCCTGAGCTGAAGGAGCATTAAAAAAAGCAAATTTTCTTGGTTATTACTGAGGCCATTAGGATCTAAGCATTGGTTTACATTATGTTGTAAAGTTGATGGTTAGTGTCTAATAATGTGGAGCCATCAGAGATTTAAATTTTGCAAAAAGATAAACTTTAAGCAGAAAAAAAAACGCACACCAGCAACTCCTATTTTCATGGTTTGGTCCAAAAGTCTGAGCAAAAGCTGCTGTGTGTTTTTTCTTACAGGCCTTTAGTGTCGATGGTGAATCTACAGCCTAAGACTACTGACCTAAAACTACAAGATGGGTAGTTTCATAAACTGTACCTGCAAAGAGGCGCATCTGAAAGTCTATATTCTGCGAATCACAGTAAAGAACACACAAGCACAAAGAAAAACATGTCAGCTACATTCAAGATTCAGAACCCTAATCAAAGGACACATAAAGCTTAGAGAAGAGTCTGACATTAAGATCTGAAAAAAATAGGATGATAGACCTCAGAGGACAGTACAACTTTACAGTAACATCAGTTCGAATCTACGCCATAAAAAGAGGTGAAAGTCATTCTGGGAATAGCTGGCAGTACCATACTTTTTCAAATGAGTATTTCTCACATACATAAACCTTATTTTAAAAAGTCCATATCTTAGATTCATGCTGCAAATTAAGCTGAAAAGGAACAAAAATCCTGAGGTGACTGAGTCCTAACAGGTGTCATTAAAAGAAGAATATAATATGTTACAAGACTATAATGTGTTTACTGTTCGCTTGCAAACATTGTTTTTTTAGAGCTTTTATTTTCCTAAATGTAGAGCACACTAGAAAAGCTTTCTTACAGAACAGTTGTGTGGACAATAACCAGGATTCTTTTGGCTTGTCATATAATCTTCATGAGGATGATGTTGATCTCAGAAAACTGATCCTCTGCTGGCTGACATGACAGTCCAGTCCAGTCCAGTCCAGTCCAGACCATACCATACCATACCATACCATACCATACCATACCATACCATACCATACCATACCATACCATACCATACCATACCTTCTTTATTTTTAGAGCACGTTAAACAACTTCATCAACTTCAACTTCGTCTTTGCCTGAGATGGCTGTAAAGCTCTGTACAACTATAATTTTATTCCTCTATATAAATTAGTGTATTTACCCCCTGAAGCTTAATATGATTTATATGTAATAAAATGATCAATTATTCAAATTTACATGTATGAGAGTTGATCTCAACACAAAGCTCAATTCGTTGTTTTTTTCTTATTATTATCGATTAGAAACTCTTTGTTGTTTCATTAAAAAAAATAAAAACAGGTCTTTGGGGTGAAAAGTCGAAATGTTTTTGTTTTTACAGTCTGTTACAGCTTTAGTTTATGTTGTGGCAAGGTGATTAAATCTCTGGCCTAAGTAGGGGGGATTCTGTGTTTGTCTTGCTTAAGTGGAACAGTGACCTCTGACAAAAACAAAACTTGTTGAAACAACTGAAGTGATGTAAAGAAGAGTGGGCCAAACTACATCCACAATGATGTGACAGAATGAATGAGTCAGACAGAAAACTACTGAACTGAATTGTATTGAGACAACAAACAAGCAGGATACCATCACAATAATCTAAATTAAATATGGGTGCATCAATAAATTGGTCAGCCCATTTATTGGGACCAATTTCCTTATTTTGGGAGATCGGAAGTAAGTTGATACTTAAGACCAGTGGAAAAGATCAGCTTCTCATTTACCTCCAAAACGGTCTGAAAATCAGCCACTGCCCCTGTATTTGCTCTGCTGTGAGCAATACCTAATGTCCAGTTAGAACTAGTTTGTATTGTTTCAAGGATATTATTTAATGTTTTTTTAAATAAGATTGGAACATTGAAAGTATTGTGACCTTATAACACCTGACAGTGTCTGTTTTTAAAAAAATCTGTATTCGCTAAAATCGAGAACAGCAGGTCAGACTTTGGCCAGAAAACTGCAATCATGTGCGCCCCTAGAATTAAAACGTGTAATGTGTAATAACGGCTTGTATTTCAAGAAGGGGGCTCTGCAGTACATGCTGTCCTGTGTGCAGAGTTGACCCTACCCGTGATTGGTCAAATCAACTTGTCTTGTGGGGCAACTTAAGAAGAAGTAATGATAATAGTAAAATAATATGATTTATTGACTGCCTAGGTACAGTTTCAAACAGAGCAATGACTCAAATAAAAATTAACTAGAACATGTAAACATAATTTACTGACTTCAAATTTCATGTGGCAAGCACCTTCCTGCCTCAAATTATGACTAATATTCATATTCATGATTTTTAGCAATTTTTTCACAGGCTGGTTAGGGATGTTTTGACAGAGCCAAATTGTTACATGTCCCTCCAAATGTACATCGTTCAAATTTTGTGCTGCTAGCACCTTCCTGTTTCGAGTTATGACTAAAATTTACAGTGGTTTGCAAAAGTATTCATACCCCTTGAACTTTTCCATATTTTGTCACATTACAACCACAAACATAAATATATTTCACTGGAATTTAATGTGAAAGACCAACACAAAGTGGTATACAATTGTGAAGTGGAAGCAAAATTTTACATGAATCAAAACATTTTTTACAAATAAAAAACTGAAAAGTGCGACGTGCAAAAGTATTCAGCCCCCTTTTCCCTGAGTGCAACCAATTGCATTCAGAAGTTGCCTGATGACTGCTAATGACTCAAAAGGGTCCACCTGTGTGTAATCTAATCTCAGTACAAATACAGCTGCTCCGTGACGGCCTCAGATGTTGGTTAAGAGAATATTGGGGAGCAAACAGCATCATGAAGTCCAAAGAACACACCAGACAGGTTAGGAATATGGTTTTGGAGAAGTTTAAAGCAGGCTTAGGTTATAAAAAGATTTCCCAAGCTTTGAACATCTCACGGAGCACTGTTCAATCCATCATCCGGAAATGGAAAGAGTATGGCACCACAGTAAACCTGCCAAGACAAGGCCGTCCACCTAAACTTACAGGCCGAACAAGGAGATCACTGATCAGAGAGGCAGCCAAGAGGCCCATGGTGACTCTGGATGAAATGCAGAGAGCCACAGCTCAGGTGGGGGAAACTGTCCACAGGACAACAATTAGTCGTGCACTACACAAATGTGGTCTTTATGGAAGAGTGGCAAGGAGAAAGCCATTGTTAAAAGAAAACCATAAGAAGTCCCGTTTGCAGTTTGCCAGAAGCCATGTTGAGGACACAGCAAACATGTGGAAGAAGGTGCTTTGGTCAGACGAGACCAAAATTGAACTTTTTGGCCACAATGCAAAACGCTATGTGTGGCGGAGAAAGAACACTGCACATCACTCTGAAAACACCATCCCCACTGTCAAATATGGTGGTGGCAGCATCGTGCTCTGGGGGTGCTTCTCTTCAGCAGGGACCGGGAAGTTGGTCAAAGTTGATGGGAAGATGGATGGAGCCAAATACAGGGCAATCTTGGAAGAAAACCTGTTGGAGTCAGCAAAAGATTTGAGACTGGGGCGGAGGTTCACCTTCCAGCAGGACAACGACCCTAAACATAAAGCCAAAGCTACAATGGAGTGGTTTAAAAAAAAGAATATTCATGTGTTAGAATGGCCCAGTCAAAGTCCAGACCTAAACCCAATTGAGAATTTGTGGCAAGATCTCAAAACTGCTGTTCACAAACACTCTCCATCCAATCTGACTGAGCTTGAGCTGTTTTGCAAGGAGGAATGGGCAAGAATTGCAGTCACTAGATGTGCAAAGCTGGTGGAGACATACCCTAAAAGACTTGCAGCTGTAATTGCAGCAAAAGGTGGCTCCACAAAGTATTGACTCAGGGGGGCTGAATAATTTTGCACATCACACTTTTCAGTTTTTTATTTGTAAAAAATGTTTTGATTCATGTAAAATTTTGCTTCCACTTCACAATTGTATACCACTTTGTGTTGGTCTTTCACATTAAATTCCAGTGAAATATATTTATGTTTGTGGTTGTAATGTGACAAAATATGGAAAAGTTCAAGGGGTATGAATACTTTTGCAAACCACTGTATATTTATATTTTAAAAAAATCTGTGCTTCCTGCTCGACTCAACCCCCCCCCACACACACACACACAACTTCTTCAAACCTTATTATCGATTTGACCAATCACATCTTGGGCCCACAAAGTAAGAGACTCCTACTTAGTGACTGCAAAGACTCCCTTCTCTTGTACAGTATTTTACATGCCTCTGGACTGAAAAAAAAAAAAGAAAGTCTGAACTAAAAAAGAAGGTAGATTACAGATGAAAATGAAAACAGAGAAGTTCCCTTAATAAAACAAGATGTTTACAGATAAACTGGTTAGATCTCTTACCTCCTGCAGCAGGTCAGCCTGCTCGATGGCCTTCAGAACATTTTTCTTGGACGTCTCCTGAGCCTCCCCGCCCAACAAGAACTCATCCAGGATGAAGTAAGCCTTCTCAAAGTTGAAAATAATGTCAAGCTCACAAACCTGTTCAACACAAATATAAAAATAAAAAACACAAACGTATTAAATATTAATTTACCTCAAGATTTTGAGGCTGAGTAACAGGTTGCAACCCAACAAGGAGAAATTTAATCATAGATAAAAAAAACAACAACCAAAAACAAAAAAACAAAAAACAAAAGAGAAGACAGAACGCACACTGCCGAAGTATTTATCTAGCAGTTCCACGTATCTGTGAATGATTTCCAGAGTGATGAGCTCATTGTCCTGGTCCTCAATGGCACAGCAGAAGTACAGGCTGGCATATCTGCAACACAAATGATCCAAACCTCARCTCAACCAGCATCCTTCACTGCAAACTGCAACGTCAACCAGACCAAAGGACCTGCAAGGAGAGCTGACTTTATACATTTAACTTGGGCAGGATTCCCAAGTGATGCACTGTTTCCCTGCTCACCTTAATGCTGCTGAGGAAGCAGGTCTCAGTTATTGTTTAGCATGGCTGCTTACTGTGTGCAGAGTATTCATTAAAAACCAGAAACCAGAGCAGAATGCTGATTCAGTTAAGCCCTATTCTTTATCCCTGATAATCCCAAAGGTTCTCTTTAAGCATGTGATGATTGGCTAATAAAAGACTTGGTCAGTTGATCCTGTTGGAGCCGGAAGGACAGCAGACTGGACTGAGCAGTGGACTTTAGACAAATGATCAGTAAAAAATAGTGACTCACTTTTCAAACTAGGAGGAAGGAAGCTCCTCGTTAAAATTAAAACTGGTTTCTGGTGGGATTCTTTAGATTCTTAATGTTTTCATGATCCAACTCAAAGTTTTCTACTGAATGTGCTGCACAGCCACATCCAGCAAACATAATGATGCACTTCACATTTTTAACTGCCCATGGTTTATGGAAGCGAGGCCGTGTTTGTAATAGTGGCTAATTAATGAAAATGATAATGGCAAGTGGGATTTTACAACAAATACAACATATCACACATCTCCATGTTACAACTGGCAGTTTGAAAGTTATCAGACATCCATTTAGCATCACATTAAATCCTATAATGTCAGTATTTGTTGTCACACAAAGCTCAGACATTTACCTGAAGAAAATACTTTACCTACAAGAAGTTTAATGTCGTCAAACCAGGATAAGAATCATCAACAAGATGAGAACTGGTGAATAAGATCCTGAATAGATTAGGTATTAAACTACTTAGTTAAAAAGACAAAATTTCCAACTTTCTGCTATGCAGGTTCTGGTTCAGAGCCAAATGTCATATTTTAAGTCAAGCCACCACTAAACCTAACTAACTAAGATCCAACAAACATTATCGATAAAAACATCAGCCTTTAACAATATCAATCACCAGCCGGGCCGTGTGATTTTTAAAAAAATTTCTTTATAAATGTGAAAATACATTTCATTTTTACATCAAACATACAAGCTTTTAAAACCTGATCTAGAAATAGTAAAAATAAAATAAAATAAAATAAAAAAGACAACTATTTTTCCCTCACTGTCAGGACATCACATTAAACATTTTCTGTTTTAGGTCAGCAAAGATTAATTTTGTATTTGCTAAATGTCCAAATAATGAGAATTTTAATAGTTTAGAAGATTTTTTAAGACTTCAAAGTTACAAGTTTACATACACTAAGAGTTCTAAGCTTTTAAATAATTTGGGAAAGCCTAGATGATGATGTCATGGCTTTGGAAGCTTGTGATTGGTTAATTGGCAACATTAAAAAAGGTACCTTGGAGGCACATCTGTAGATGTATTTAAGGGTATCTCACATCAAGGGACAATCAAAAGAAATGAGTCAAGTTATCAGGAAGAGAAAGGTCAATGTTTACAACTCTGGTTTATCCTTTGGTCCAATTATCAGATGCCTGAAGAAGCCACGTTTATCTGCATTTAAACAATTACTTAATATATATAAATAAACAAGAAAATAACAGCATGGGAATGTCTTGCTATCATACAACTTGAGTCTGATTAAAGTGCTCGGTATGACTGATTGACAGCCAAGCGGATGACGCGTGGACACATGGTTGTTTGATGTATGTTTTCGCACACACTTTTTATAGCTCCTGACACACCATGACAAACTCCAGGGACACCCCTCCCACTGCGGTACACAACAACACATGGGGTTTCTTCTTGCTGGCATCTACACTGTGGAAAAAAATAAAAAACTCCGATCCCCTATTTGTCCACTAATCTGTCCCGGGTAAAACTCCACTGTGTTTGGCAGAGAAAATCATTCATACACGTCTGTTTTATCTCCATTCATGAGGTTTTGTCCATTTTGACTTATCTTTATAAATGTACACTTCCTGGTACAACAGTCGGATTCTGGAAATGAGTAGTTGAAGCAAAATGCAACTAGGCATGCACGATATATCGGCATTGACACTGGTATTGGACGATATTTGTCATTTTTTAGAATGTTGGTATCGGCCCGATATGTAAAATGGGGCCGATATTAATGTCCGATTATGATTTTCCATTTTTTAGCTTTTTGTTTCTGTTTTGGTAGGCGAAATGTTTGGTTTAATGGTATCAGTTTGATTGTGATAGTGATATTGATGCTGCGCAGCCAGGAATAACTGAAGTAGGGAGCCATGTCAGAGGTCTGGTAGTGTATTTATGGTATCAAAAAAAAAGACAAGTGTGTTTGTGCGTAAATGTACATAAACTAGACACCGCATAGCAGAAATGCACCGGAACTCAGAAGTCTTTATTCCTAATAAATGTCATGCTACTAGGTGCATCCCAAAATTGTAGTGGCTTGGGAGGGGGTCTTTTTTTTGGGAAGGGGGGTGCATTGGTTGACCGGATGGATAGCCTCTCATC